TCTAGGGAAGACAGAGATGCCGAGAGGCAGCTCTGTCAACACCCACGTCCTCAACATGCGAGCTCATGTTGAGGAACTTGAGCGTACAGGAGTGAACCTCGATGGTGACTTGGTTGCAGACTTGATCCTGATATCATTACCCGAGGACTATAACCAGTTCGTGATGCAGTACCATATGCACGGGATGACTAAGAGCTTAGCCGAACTGCATGGGATGCTGAAATCAGCCGAGCAGGATATCGTGGTGCCCAAGACTGTGCTTGCTGTTGAGAAAAACTCCAGCAAGAAGCGGCGGGGTAAAGCCAAAAAAAAGGTGGCGAAAAAGGTAAAAGTTTCCTCTACGCCCAAGCCTAAGCCCGATAAGGGTGACTGTCATTACTGCGGAGTGTCTGGACACTGGAAGCGTAATTGTCATCTTTACTTGGAGGATCTGAAGGACAAGAAGCTTGGTGAAGCTTCTGCCTCAGGTATTCATGTTATAGAAGCTAACATCTGTACTACATCTTCAAGGGTATTAGATACCGGAAGTGCCTCACACATTTGTGGAAATGTGCAGGGACTAAGAAGAAGTAGGATGCTAGCTAAGGGAGAAGCGGATCTACGCGTCGGAAATGGAGCAAGAGTTGCTGCATTGTGTGTTGGCGTTTACGATTTGCATCTTCCCTTCTGGACTTGTTTTAGAGCTTAGTAATTGTTACTATGTTCCTGCGATTAGCAGAAACATTATTTCTATTTCATGTCTGGATTTAGATGGTTTTCGATTTGTGATTGAGAACTCGAGTTTGATGATTTATCAAGACGATATTTACTATGGTAATGGTTATCTAGTTAATGGTTTATACGTCTTGAATGATCAGCCTTCGAACTCAACATCGTCCATCTATAGCGTGAGTACTAAACGGTTTAAGCCGAATGACTTAAACCCAACCTTCCTGTGACATTGTCGTCTAGGCCATATAAACGAGAAGCGCATTCAGAAGCTTCATTCTGAAGGTCTTCTGGATTCATTTGACTTTGAGTCTCTTGAATCTTGCGAGTCTTGTTTGATGGGCAAGATGACAAAGCATGCTTTCAAGGGGAAAGGACAGAGAGCGACAAAGTTATTGGATCTGATACATAGTGATGTATACAGACCAATGAGCTGTCCAGCTAGAGGAGGTTATCTGTATTTCGTTACGTTCACTGATGATTTCAGTCGATACGGTTATGTCTATTTGATGAGACATAAGTCTGAAACACTTGAAATGTTCAAGGCTTTCAGAAACGAAGTACAGAACCAGCTTGGCAAGACGATCAAGCCACTTCGATCCGATCGTGGTGGCGAGTATATGAGCCAAGAGTTCACTGACTATCTAGTTGATTGTGGTATTGTATCACAATTAACTCCTCCTGGAAACGCCACAGTGGAAC